TGTCCCACAGTCCAGTCCAATCCCTGTCTGAAGAGTTGGCCTCGGAAATTGTTTTAGTTCTGGGCTGATAGAGAATCCAGGGGCCATGCTTGCCGGGGGTTCCTCCAGTCTCAGTCAGACCATTAAGTCTGGTCTTCTTACTAGAATTTCAATTCTGCACCCCATCTTTCTCCTGCTCCATCCAGGACTCTGTTGTGTTCCCTGTCTGGGCGATCATTGGTGGTAGCCAGGTGCCATCTAGTTCTTCTCGTCTCAGGCTGATGAAGTCTCTGGTTTCTGTGGCCCTTTCTGTCTCTTGGGCTGATACTTTCCTTGTGTCTTTGGTGTTCTTCATTCTCCTTTACTCCAGGTGATTGGGACCAATTGATGCATCTTAGATGGCCGCTTGCAACCTTTTAAGACATCAGATGCCACTCACCGAAGTAGGATGCAGAACATTTTCTTAATAAGCTTTGATAAGCCAGTTGACCTAGATGTCCCCTTGAAAGCATGGTCCCCAGATCCCTACCCCTGCTACTCTGTCCCCAAAGTGTTTGATTGTATTCGGGAAACTTCTTAGCTTTGATTTAGTCCAGTTGTGCTGACTTCACTTATAGTGTGTGCTGCCCTTCCCTTCACCTAAGATAATACTTGTCTACTATCTATTTAGTGAATAATCCTCACCCTCCCTCCCCACCCTCATAACCATCAAAGAATGTTTTCTTTCTTCTGTGTTTAAACCTTTTATTGAGTTCTTATAATAGTGGTCTTATACAGTATTTGTCCTTCTGTGACTGACTAAATTCACTCAGCATAATGACCTCCAGCTTCCTCCATGTTATAAGATGTTTCATGGCTTCATCGTTGTTCTTTATCATTGCATAGTATTCCATTGTGTGAATATACCATGATTTGTTTATCCATTCGTCCATTGATGGGCACCTAGGTTGTTTCCATCATTATGCTGTTGTGAACAGTGCTGCCGTGAACATGGGTGTGCATCTATCTATTCGTGTGACAGCTCTTATTTCTCTAGGATATATTCCAAGGAGCGGGATAGCTGGATCCTATGGTATGTCTATTTCTAGCTTTGTGAGGAAGTGCCAAATTGATTTATTTGTGTTTTTTGGATTAATGCTAGCCTTGTTGGGGTGAGATGATATCTCATTGTAGTTTTGATCTGCATTTCTCTAAGGGCTAATGATCATGAGCATTTCTTCATGTGTCTGTTAGCCGCCTGAATATCTTCTTTGTTGAAGTCCCTGTTCATATCCTTTGCCCATTTTTTAATTGGGTTGTTTGTCTTTTTGTTGTTGAGGTTTTGTACTATCTTGTAGATTTTAGAGATTAGACACTGATCAGGTTTGTCATAGCCAAAAATTTTTTGCCAGTCTGTAGGTTGTTCTTTCACTCTATTGGTGAAGTCTTTTGATGAGCATAAGTGTTTGATTTTTAGGAGCTCCCATTTATCTAGTCTCTCTTCTGGTGCTTGTGCATTGTTACTTATGGTTCATATTGTGTTTATGCCATATATTAGGGCTTCTAGCGTTGTCCCTGTTTTTTCTTCCATGATCTTTATTGTTTTCAATTTTATATTTAAGTCTTTGATCCATTTTGAGTTAGTTTTTGTGCATGGTGTGAGGTATGGGTCTTGTTTCAGTTTCTTGCAGATGGATATTGAATTATGCCAGCACCATTTGTTAAAGAGACTGTCTTTTCCCCAATTAATGGACTTCGGGCCTTGTCAAATATCAGCAGCTCATAGCTGGATGAATTTATGTCTGGATTCTCAGTTCTGTTCCATTGGTCCATGTGTCTGTTGTTGTACCAGTAGCAGGCTGTTTTGACTACTGTGGCGATATAATAGGTTCTAAAATCAGGAAGTGTGAGGCCTCCCACTTTGTTCTTCTTGAGTAATGCTTTACTTATTCGGTACCTCTTCCCTTTCCATATGAAGTTGGTGATTTGTTTCTCCATCTCATTAAAAAATGCTGGTGGAATTTGGATCTGGGTTGTGTTGTATCTGTAGATCGCTTTGGGTAGAATTGACATTTTCACAATGTTGAGTCTGCCTTTCCATGCGCAAGGTATGTTTGTCCACTTACGCAGGTCTCTTTTGGTTTCTTGCAGTAGCGTCTTATAGTTTTCATTGTATACATCTTTTACATCTCTGGTTAGATTTATTCGTAAGTATTTTTTCTTCTTGTGGGCTATTGTAAATGGTATTGATTGGGTGATTTCCTCTTCGAGGTTCTCTTTGTTGTTCTAAAGGAATCCAACTGATTTTTGTATGTTTATCTTGTATCCTGAAACTGCTGAAATCTTCTGTTAGTTCCAGTAATTTTCTTGTGGATTCTTTGGAGTTTTCCGTGTATAAGGTCATATCATCTACAAATACAGATACTTTGATTTCTTCCCTACCAATTTGGATGCCCTTTTATTTCTTTTTCTAACCTAATTGCTCTAGCTGGGAACTCCAGCACAATGTTGAATAAGAGTGGTGATAAAGGGCATCCTTGTCTGATTCCCGTTCTCAAGGGGAATGCTTTCAAAGTCTCTCTATTTAGGATGATGTTGGCTGTTGGCTTTGTATAAATGCCCTTAATTATATTGAGAAGTTTCTCTTCTATTCATTCCTATTTTGTCGAGAGTTTTTCTCATGAATGGGTATTGGACTTCGTCAAATGCCTTTTCTGCGTCGATTGATAAGATCGTGTGGTTCTTGTCTTTTATTTCTGTGATGGATTACATTGAGTGTTTTTCTGATGTTGAACTATCCCTGCATACATGGTATAAATCCC